AATATTGTGTATAATAAAAAAAACGTTTCATTTTTACCGTCGCATTAGTAAAAAGAAGTTGAGGAGGCTTTAAAGAAAACAAATGATGGAAAGTCTGTAGGGCCTGATGATATCCCAATTGAAGTGTGAAAATATTTAGGAGATTTCGAAGTTTCTTGGCTTACTAAACTCTTTAATATTATTTTAAAAACTAAAAAGATGCTTGAGGAGTGGAGAAAGTATTTTGGTCCCCATTTTTAATAATAAAAGGGATTCACAAGAGGGTGCAAATTATAGAAGAACTAAGTTGATGTGTCATACTTTAAAATTATGGGAGAGGATAATTGAACATAGGTTAAGACATATTATAAAGATTTCTCATAATCAACTTGGTTTTATCTCGGGAAGATCTACTATGGAAGCTCTACATTTTCTGAGAAGTTTGATGAAGAAGTTCAGAGATAATAAGAAAGATAATAAGGAGGATCTACATTTGATTTTTATTTATTTAGAAAAAGCTTACGATAAGGTTCCAAGAGATGTCCTTTGGAGTGTTCTTGAGAAGAAAGGTGTTGATATGACTTATATTCAAGTCATCAAAGATCTGTATACTAGAGCTGTTACTTGTGTTCGAATTGAAGGAGGATTAACCAAATGTTTTTCTATTTTTGTTGGATTACATCAGGGATCGGCTTTAAGCCCATATCTTTTTGCTTTAGTTATTGATGGTCTTATTGGACATTTACAGTAGGATGTACCTTGGTCTATGCTTTTTGCTGATGATATTTTCTTGTGGATAAAACGAGAGAAAAAACTCAGGAAAAACTTGATAAGTGTAACTTTGGGCGATCAACTTATTAAAAGATGTGAATGATTTAGATATCTCGGGTCTGTTGTTCAAAGCGATGGTGATATAGATGAGGATGTTAATAGTAGAATTTAAATTGGTTGGTTGAAATGGAGGAATGCTTCGGGCCTTTTGTGTGATAAAAATGTACCGCTCAGACTGAAAGGAAAATTTTATAAGAGGTTGGTGAGACCTGCAATGCTCTATGGCGCTGAATATTGGCCTTTAAAAGAGAAGCATAATACTAAGTTAAGTGTTGCCGAGATAAAAATGATGAGGTGGATGAGTGGCTTTACACTTGGAGACAAAATGCGAAATGAATATATCCAGGATAGGGTTGGTGTAGCTCCAGTGATGAACAAAATTAGAGAGTTGTCTTAGATGGTTTGGTCACGTTAAATGTTGACCATCTGATGATCCGATTAGGAGAGTAAATGTTTTAGATTCAACTTATGTTAAGAAAGGTAGAGATAGACCTAGGAAGACTTGAGCTTATTGTATAAAAAATGATCTTAATTTATTAGAACTAAATGAAAATATGATACTAAATAGGACGCAATGGAGAAAAAGGATTCATGTAGCCAACCCCTCGTAGTGGGATTAAGGCTTTGTTGTTATTGTATTATTATTATTATTACTATTATTTTTATCACTTGAATAAAATTTATCCTTTCCTCTTCCAAACCCTCGACCCGATTTCCCCGGCTCGCCCAGCTTGCTTTGCCCCTTCCCTTTCTTCTTCGGCTCAATCACACAGGATCGAATCACTGTGCGTGAAAAATCATCTCCCACACACTACTCTTCTTCTTCGACGCTTTGCTAGGGCACGATCGAGGCTCTTCCTTTGTCTTCCTCCTTGACTCTGCTGAACTCGAGACTTACACGCAAGATCTCTCGCCTCTCCTCAGCTCGACATCACTTCCCTCGATTCTATAGATGAGTAAAACACCTTGGACATTTTGTTTTATATGTGAACTTGTCTCTTTAGCTTATGATCCCTTCGCTTTCACTCCTTCATTGTTTCCTCTCCCTTCCCCGATTCATCGTTTCCTCTTCCATCTCTGTTTGTTTTTTCTTCTCCGTTCCTTTGTTTTTCTCGTTTCTTCTCCCCCCATACAAAATCCTTATATATTATTCTGTCGGCACAACAATTTATGATCTAAATTACACGATTGTCTGAGGTAGAAAACTGTTTACTTGCCCCTAACTGATATTTTCTTACCGGCATAACAGTTAGCGATCTAAACATCTCAATTTTCTGGGGTGATAATATAACATCCACGCACATGGGTAGCCTGGCGTTCTCTACCTGTATGATAAGGAGACGAACTCCTTTTACTATGCATTTACAAGCATTCATATACAAACTACTTCATTCTTCACATCACACTAACTATTTTTATGAAATATTTTTTCTCTATCTATTGATGAATAAATGCAACATTACTAAATTTATAGGTCATGAAATATGCTTATATGCACCAATATATGAATATACAAATCATGTAGTCGTACAACATCTTCTTAAAAAAATTATAATGCAACTATTTATACATAATTGCTAATATGCATGCTTTATACAGAACAATATGAAGAGTGATTCTAATCTAAGACAGATATATAACATAAAATTAAAAAAAAAATTGAAATTAAAAATATATTTAGAGATAAGAAATACTACTATAATTTCAAAACATAATTACTCACCTTAACTTTTCAAGGACCTCTTCAAAAGCTTATTCCTCCAATTTATCTTTTGAAATTAATTAATATAACTCCATTTTAATACTTAAATATGAATTCAATTTTTACAAAAGAAATCTAAATTAAACAAACTCTATCTCTTATCTCAAGGCTTGATTTGCTTCCTTGCACGCTAGGCTCTTCCTCCAAGCTAATTGGTTTAGTTCGGTTTTTATTCTTTAACCTGTACTTTATGACATTGAATTATAATAAAAAACTTGATACATTTAATTAAATATGCTAATTCAAATTATTTAATTAGACCCTTACCTCAATGTCTTCCTTATTTCTCCTCCAATTTGAATATTCTTCTGTTGTTGATTTTTGATTTAAAAAAAAAAAACTATTATTAATCATTAATATATTTTCATATTCCTAACTTTTTAATAAAGGATAAAATTCTACACTCACCTAAATTATCTCTTCTTTTTTTTTCCCACAAAAGTCAATCTCAATGTCTTCTGAGCTTTTAATTTTATTGCTTCCCAAAATTAATCACTGTAATTAATTCATACAATTTAATATTAAATTATAACATAATTAACTAAAATAAATTCTATAATTTAAAATAAGCACTTGCCTCTTGGCTTGGTTACGCACACAATTCTGCGTGTGTACTCCCCCTAAATAACTTTATAATAACTCAATTATTGGGGATTATTGAGAGCAGTAGCCCCCAATAACTTAACAATACGTTCCGTGCTCATATATTTTGTTGTTATTGGAAAGTTTTGTTAGGTCACCAACATTAACCCTCCGATACCTCCCGAATAACCTCCATACGCACACAGAACTGCGTGGAGTACGTAAATATTTGTTCTTGCACGAACCCTTCAACTCCTCTCCCCTCCCTGGAAAAAAATTGCGTACATAAGACGTACGCAGAGCTGCATACGTCTGTAACCTGCAAATATGTTACAAGGAGGATATTCGGAGGTTATAACCGCGTTATAGCTTCTGTAACCTCCCTGTAACTAACCTATATATGAACACAGAAGTGCGGAACTTACTAGAAGGTACAGGTAGGTTACAGGGAGGTTACAGGGGCTATAACGCAGTTATAACCTCCAAATATCCTCTCTATAACCTATTTTCAGATTACAGACGTACGCAGCTCTGCGTACGTCTTATGTACGCAAATTTTTCCCCCCTCCTAGCATGCAAGGGCTCGATTCTTCCTCTTCTCTTGCACACAGCTTGCATGCGACTTTTTCTTCCCTGCACGAGCCGTCTCTTTCCTCTTATTCTGCTTGAACCAGCACAAGAATGGTCGGTCTGGTCTTTTTCCTCTCATGTCCCCGACGTCGCTCACAAGGCTTCTTCTTCGCACATGAAGCGATGGCTTCAAAGCTTATGGTTTAGTTTGGTCTTCACATACGAGGATTCGAGCTTCCTTTCTCATCTTCTTCTTACCACAATTGAGAAATTGAGCACCTCCATTGCAGCAGCGATGTCATCTTCTTGCCCTAGATGCAGCCGGGTGTCGAATTAATGACAAGTAATGTCGACTGCCTTCTCTCACTCAAATGCAGCGTCAACAACAAGGTCTGGGATAGTCACAACGTTCTTCTTCTCCCTCGCCTCGATTCTGTCTCTTTTGCTCGCTTCTGATTTCTTCGTTGTTGTTCGAATGAAATATCCAACTCTGACCATTAATCAAATCTTTGTCGTCGATACAAAATTTCCTCTTTTATTAATTATTATTATTATTATTATTATTGGTTACTAACCTAAAGTTTGATGAGGCATGCATAATTGATATTTTGAGCTTTTTCTTAAATATATATATATATATATATATATATAAGTGAAGCACAATTAATGAAATTCCTTCTGTTTACGCAAAATGAAGCTTAAGTGGTAGTTTGACGGGAACCTATACTGAGTTCTATTATGTTTTTTTTTCCTTTATAGTGTTGAAAGTATTTTTCTTATTTTCGGCACATATGAATCATTTGTCATCTTATACTGTTTTCTAAAGGAAGAGAAAATGTCGTTTTGGAAATCATTTTTTTCTTCAGGATGCTATATTAAATTTCAAGTAAGATGAATCTGTTTATTTTTCTTTTATTATCTTTTTGTGTTTTGGTATCCGATGAAGTTATTCTGTCAGTAAATTGCTTTTTTTTTTCTTTAGCAGTCCTCCAGTTTAGTTAATGTAATAGCATGAAATTGTGCTTTTATCAGTCGTTTTGCAATTTCTCAGTCTTCCACTGAGCCTCTAAAGGAATACCGAAACATTTCATTGCCTGCTTCTATTTTAATGCCTCAACTCCAAAATCTTGCTCAGCAAACTTCGTTTCAACTGGTAAACCACATTGCTACTTTTCCCTTACGAAATAGTTGATCAACCATATTCTATTCTTTTTTAATAATCTTTCCGTTCTCACTTTGTCACCATTAGCGCATATAATCACATTATTTTTGTGCTTTGCTATAGGATCTTCTTGCGACTTTTTTGAATTGCACGCAGCAAAATGATCTTGTTTCAAGTGAGTGTAAATTTGTCTCCTTTTATAAAAAACAACTACGAAACGTTATTCTTTGTTTTTGGACACGTTGCAGCTTTTCAAACAAGAATAGCATTACAAACATTCAAGCCTCCGAATGACATTCTGGTTAGTCTACTAGCAGTATTTGTAACCTGCCTGATGAAAAATTTTCTGTTGCTTGATGACTTATTTAACCTCAATTTTATTTTTCTTGTTATTTTTTGATATCCATGAGATAGCCTAAAGTCTGCACCATTTTCTTAGTTTTGAGTGTTGTAGCACAAATTTGATGTTGGAGCAATTCAATAGACCGATCTTGACAATAACATTCAAGGTCCTTACTAAATCTCCACCGCTCTTACAAAGCCCCAAGCTTGGTGAAGAGCTATGGTTGTATTTGAGAGCTTGTTCTGAAGCAATTAGTTTGAACTTAGTTCGGGAAGAGCAGAGAAGGTAATTTTCAGTCTATTATATTAGTCGAGTCTTAAGAGGTGCTCCAATCAAGTATCCGAATACAGAAAAGTTAACTCTTGCTTTAATTATTTCAGCGCAAAGACTTCATTCCTACTTACAAATGCATCACATAAAAGTCATCACCGATCATCACTTGAAGCCGACCAAACCAGAGCATTCGGGACTTAGTTGAACATAGTGAGTTCTACGTTTCTTATACTCCCATGAAAACAATCAAAGAGCAAGCGGCTGACGACTTCCTGATAGATTTTTTGAGCCTCATGACCAAAAGGCAGCAACATCAGCCTACAATTTGACCACTTTGTGCATGGATGGGGTGTCGAGTTGCCAAGTAATTGGACTAAGGGTGGTGTTAAAGAGCCCAAGTGGCTTCCACTTTTATCGTTCGACTGAAGTTGGATTCGATATAACTAATAACCAGACTGAATACGAAGCTTTGATTATTGGACTACTTTTCATCTAAGGGATAGACATAGGGCATTGATTGGTATGGTCAGACTCTCAATTAATGGCTAATCAAGTGAATGTCAGTACGAAGTTAGAGAGGAGATGGTTGCGAGATATCTCGTAAAGGTGAAAGCAAAAGTAGGGAAATTCGAATTCTTCAGGACCGAGCATATTCCTAGGGTCAAAAATCGGCTCGTGAATCTTCTATCTAAATGGAACTGCCTGACTGGAGGTCTACCACAGAAGCTTACTAGGCCTTTAATTGATGAAGCAGAGGTTATAGATGCGGAAACCAAGAAAGTAACAATTTGGATAGACCCATGTATCAAATTTTTAGAAACAGGGGAACTCGCCATTGGCATAAAAGATCATAGAAGGCTAAAAAAAAGCCGCACAATATCTCATACTAAATAGTGAACCATTCTGATGATCGGCCATGTTGTTATACTTGCGTTGTGTGCCAGAGAAAGAGATCATTGATATTCTCAAACACTCCGGTAAATGAGGAAGTCATTAGGAGGACAAATTTTAGCAAACTGCATACTCAGGCAAGAGTATTTTTGGCAGACCCTCTAGAAAGTTGTTGAAAAGTTTTTAAGGTGTAAATAGAGCAAAAATTTGCCCCAATCTACTTAAAGCCTTCCCACAAGTTACAGCCTGTCATGAGCTCATGCCCATTCATTGTGTGGGGACTGAATCTTCTTGGACATTTTACTCCATCAAAGGGTAGAGAAGATTTATATTGGTGGCAATTGACTCTTTAAAGTGAGAGCAGTGGCCAAAATCACAACAAAAGTTGTTGGCAACTTCATGTGGACCAACCTTATTTGTAAACAGTTTACCTATGGTAATCTTCGCTATTAACAAAACTCAATTTTTCTATAGGAAAGTTAAAGACTTTTCTCAAACTCAATGGATCAATTTGAAAATTGTCTTGGCACACCATCTTAGGATGAATGGACAAGTTGAGATTACAAATAAATTGATCTTACATCTGCTAAGGAAGAAGGTCTAGGGAGTGAAAGGAAAGTGGGTCTATCTCTTTCCATCAGTTCTATGGTTGTTGAGAATTATGCTAATCCAAAATGCGGTGAAGCCGTCTTTATCACACAAATATATATGTAGATCAAGTAGTATACGGATTTTGAGTGCGTGTATTGATCCCAAGAGAAGATAGTTAATATTCAAACAATCCTACTTTTTTTTTATTAATTCTACATTTAGTTTAAATTGAGAAATATGTTTCTTTGAAATGGATTATGTAAGCTTCTAATGTTCTTCCAAAAATTTTTGCTATTCAATGTTGCAATTAAGAATAATTTCTTATTACTCTATTCTTATATATAAGAAGTGTTCGAACCTTACAATATAGTTAAGTCCCCTTACTCCTACAAAGTTTCCCTAGAATCTATATTCCCTTACGTGATTATAATCTTCCAATAACAATATTTCTATTCCACCAAGAAACTGATTGTTAACTTATTTATCTAGCCTACAATCAATAGTCCCAGATCACCAATGATTTTAACTTTTCTAGTGGCTGACAAGAGAATAAATGGGGTTTAGAAAGTTAACACACCAATATATAGTAATTATTTTAGGGAATGTTCATGGTACGAACATGAATCTTCACATTATCACATCAAAGAAACATAAAATAATTAGATCCTATACATTTTCATTTATAGAAATTCAAAGTTTACAAGTAAAGGAAAAGTATAACTTGGATTGAACTCCTTTCGCTCCAAGTTTTTTCTCCTTGCTTCTCCTCGATTTCTCTCAATTCTCTCCGCACACTAATTATAAACACTCACACACAAACATATGAGTGGAAACTCCCTTCTCAGAACATGAAGAAAAACTTTCCTCATCAAGTTTTTGACGTCTCTCACCTCCAAGATGTTCTTTTTCCTTGTGTCCTCCAATAAATCCAAGCCTCTCAATGTCATGAATCCTCCACCCTAGTGAAGAAAATCTGCCATGTTATCTTTTCCCTCAGCAAACTGTCAATGAAACCACTAAAAGCACCTAAGTCGATGTGGAGCGCGACAACACTGGTTAGATGTCTGGGCGTTGGTTAAAGGCGCCATAGAGTTAGCTTGGGTGATGTATTTTATGGTCTTGAATCATCAAATTATGGCATTGAAGCGCAATAATGTTGGCTAGTGTGGCGCGCCGACTCCAGTCTCTAGCGCTGGGGCCCTTGGTCTCTATTATTGTGGTGTTGTGCTATATGGATTTCTTGTTAGATGGGGTTGAATTGGGCACTGAGGTGCTTGCTCTTGGCATTGGGGTGCTCCATATGCTTTGGCTCTTTTTGCTCCAAATGCTCTAATTTTTCTTGTATATTGCATATGAATACCAAATATACCCACAAAAAGCATAAAAATAATACAAATAATGCTATAAATGCACTACATAACATTACATGTTTTATGCATAAGTGGTGTCTCTTCGCCTAACCTGGCATTCCAGTCCAAAGTCAACCGGTATCAACTTCCTTCTTTTGAGAAGGCAACCATGACCCAGTTGCCTCCTCAATTGGAGTGAATGCTTTATTTCTCTTGGGTGTCAGCTTGTCCTCAGCAATCACCTTCCATTTTTGCTTACGTGCGAACTCTTGATAGAGTGTCTCTATAGCCTTTTTATATGTAGTAATTTCTTGTCAATCTCTGCTCCCATTCACTCATTTCCTAGAGATAGGGAGTGAGTGGGAGTCACCTACTGAGCCGCAGTATAAGGATCTTCAGTCTCCTCTTACCAAGCAGTTGTCTTAGTGAACGACTCCAAGTAGCATTTGCTAATGACATTGGGTTAACTCACTGCTTATATTTCTCTCGAATACATTTTCTTGTAACAGGGATTAGCTTATATGATTTTCCCTTTTGAATGACTACAAGAGAGGGCCATATAGAGTGAATATATGGATTATTGCTTGGATAAGCAAGATTTTTGATTTGTCATCCCCCTCCCCGTGTGTTGTGTTGAGAAAGAGGCAGGTCCTTAGTTACCAAACAAAGGAAAAATTTGACGTATAGCAAATTTCCACTCGAGCAACAAGGATAATTCACCCCTTGGCAATGCTTTGGGTCGCCCAAACATTTGCCGAGAGCTAACCAAATATTAATGCTGAGATGAAAATACAAGCCAAGCCTGAGAAGTGAGCTAATATTTTTCCGATGATAGCCGCTTTTGTGTACAAGGTGACATTGAGCTCTATTCTTTCACCATATCGTAGTGTGAGAGCTCTTCAATAGATAATTTCACTTTTTTCTTTGCCAAAAAGGACTTAACCATGTCTTGTTCGACCATCTTTTCTTAGAAGAGGTGAATCAGAACTTCCTTTTCCAATTCTTGACTTTAATCTGAAAGCCTTGAAGCTGAATGCCAATTTCAAAAAACGGCACACACCTACCTTTGGAAGCCCTGAGGGTGAACATCTCCCAGAAAATGCCAATAGACCACAAAGCTTCTATTTGCCTCAGAAATAAGATCAACAATATAATCTCAACAAAAGAATTTAGCATAACTTGAGTGAGAATGATACAATAAATGTTAGAAATATCTACCAACTCTTGGCAGAGTGATAGTTGCTGCCCAAGTGGGTACTGGTCACTGTAAAACAACAACTCGTGGTCCTAAAGTGAGTTTGACTTCTTCTTTGTCGCCCTCAAGTGAATACTGCAGTCAAAAACATAGTTGCATTGAGGCGGTCAATATCCTTGACTGAAGGATCTTGCTTCAAAGAATGCCATATGATCATAATCGGAAGCGGCAAACATGATGAAAACTAATTGAGACTAGCTTTTCATGAGCAATCAATAGAACACGATAACAATTGTAGAAACACTTTTTATAGGGTAAAAGACCATAATTTTCATGAGGGTAAGAAATAAATTATAGGATACCAGATACATAGAATCACATTTAATAAAGTAATTAAATCATTGCTCAAATCAGAGAGCTTGAACTCGATCTTTTATTGAATGAGGGATGACATTCATTACAGACGACTTGATCCAAGTAAAACATGTGAATACAAACAAGTACATAGAACCAAATTAAGAAGAAAATAAATATTCTACACAAGGATTTGAAATAATCTCCATTGGGACTTAACCCGGTCAGATGAGCCATTTCAGTAAGTACTCTCCTCCAGCTTTCAATTGGGCCAAGCAGCTGGATTCAGCCTGGCCTTGAAGCAC